GATCTAATATGCTAATGAGCTGTGTTGTTAGGGTGTGGCCTAATACGCTAATGAGTCTCAGCTGTTGGGTGTGGCCTATTATGCTAATGAGCCCTGCTGGGCTTTTTCTACAAAAAAAGCCCTGATTTCCTGTATTAACTAGCATCCATTCATTATATATGACAATAATGTGGATCAATGCAACCTCTCTCTAATGTCAAAGCTCTCTAGAGGGAGAGGTTGCGTTGATCCACATTATCGTAATTCCTGCTTGTGCTCCCTCCGGACGTCTCAAAGAGTAAACATTCCAGGAGCTCAGCCAAAACAACGTCAAGAATAACTTCATCAAGATTTTGTATTGTTTTGTATTGTACTCATATTATTTATTGGCTTTGCTCATGTTCATGAAATGTACTTCATATATAAATGAATGAATGCTAGTTAATACAGGAAATTTGTTATAAGGAAATTTGTTATTATAATAATACAACTAAGTGTGTTAAAGATATAGATTTTCTTTGGTGTGCCCTTTTTTCCCCTATTGTAATTACACCAAAGCCTGTCTAGTTTTTGATAAGTTTAACTGTCACGGCTTCCACCAAAGACTCTTGGGAAGTTTAGTTTGAACAGTGAGAGTGCTGAAAATTCTGTGTTCAAAAAGAACTCTCATCACATGACTACGGTGGTATACATTTTATCCTCACAACGACCCCGTGAGGTAAGATTTGAGCCCAGTAACACCGGAAAGACCAACCAGATTTCCAGGGTTTAAACTGCCAAGGGTCAAAGCAACCTTCATCATGTTATCTGATGAAAGGAGCTCTGTTTCTCAGCCGCTTAAACCTGGAAATCTTGCATGTCTTTAAAGTGATACTAGTCTTGAATCTTTCTCTTCTATTGAAAACCAACATGGCTACACTGTAGCACACACTGGAACCATTAGTATAGTATATTGTATGGCACTCTGTGTGTAGTATAGCCAGGAGATCCTAAGATTGTCTGGCAGTCTTAAGTTCTAGTCCTTTTATCATTATGTACCACTAGGTGGTGAGATAGACTTTTTTGGGGGGGGCTGAGAGAGCAGTGAGAGCTGTGACTGACCCAAGATCACCCAGCTGGTTTCATGTGGAGGCATGTGGAATCAAACCCGGTGACCCCGATTAGAGTCCGCTGTTTACCACTTTACCACACTAGCTGTCTTGAACCACTACACCCCGCTGACCATCAGTAGCAGCACTCTTTCATTTTAACTTCAGTGGTGAAGTACCTTATTCCTGAATTGTACCTACATTTCCAGCTAACGATAAGTTAGTTCTGTTCAGGATCAAAGCACTTCTGTGTTTTTTACATCGTGCTGCTTCGGTAAAGGGAGGAAACGTGTTCTGTTCCCCTTTGCTTTGCCTGCTTCGTTCTGGCTTCTGTCACTTTTATCCTGGTTGCTCCTACTAAAGTGACTTTCATAATTTTTTAAAATATCTTTCAATAGACAGCAACGGGCTTGAGGAACAAGAGAAGGAGAAGCGGAGGCTTGTGATAGAAAAATTCCAGAAGGCTCCTTTTGAAGAAATTGCTGCACAGTGTGAAAATAAAGTGAGTACTTAGGAAAGACTTTTTTTGACAGAATTGTGCAACAGTGGACTCAGCCGCCTGGGGAGGTGGCGAGCTCCCCCTCACTGGCAGTCTTTATGCAGCGGCTGGACAAACCCTTGTCAGGGATGCTCTAGGCTGATCCTGCATTGAGCAGAGGGGTGGACTAGATGGCCTCTAGGGGACTTCCCGCTCTGTGATTCTACCTGGACTGTGAGCTGCAAGTCTCTGGCTCAAGTGTAACCTGCCAGCTTTAACAGTGCCAGGCTCAAACGGAAACATTTAGCCAAGAAATTCTGCATAAGGAGTTTATATACGCCAAAATTTACTGTCTCTGTGCCTCATTTCCATTAGGTAGATACTTCCGCCATTTTCCCAAGGATAATTTTGGGGGCTGAAGTCTTGGTATCAGTGAAAAGTGCTGTCGGGTTGCAGCAGCATCTCTCGTTGATAGGACCATGATGGTTATTATTTCTCAAATACTCCAGGAGACAATAAGAAATCCCCATGGGCTCTCTATAGTCTGGTCTTGCAGGCTGCCGCTTTTGTATGACACTTGGGAATGTTCAAGTCTGGAGAAGAAGAGGCTGAAGGGAGACAGGATGGCTCTCTTGAAGTCTCTGAAGGGCTGTCACTTGGAGGAGGGCAGGGAGCTGTTCCTTTTGGCAGTAGAGGAGAGGACTCTCAAGAATGGGTTTAAATTACAGGTGGAAAAATACCAGTCAGATATTAGGGGGGGAGGGATTACAGTGAGAGTAGTTAAGGTGCCTCATTTCCATTAGGTAGATACTTCCGCCATTTTCCCAAGGATAATTTTGGGGGCTGAAGTCTTGGTATCAGTGAAAAGTGCTGTCGGGTTGCAGCAGCACCTCTCGTTGATAGGACCACGATGGTTGTTATTTCTCAAATACTCCAGGAGACAATGAGAAATCCCCACGGACTCTCTATAGTCTGGTCTTGCAGGCTGCTGCTTTTGTATGGGACTTGGGAATGTTCAAGTCTGGAGAAGAAGAGGCTGAGGGGGGACAGGATGGCTCTCTTGAAGTCTCTGAAGGGCTGTCCCTTAGAGGAGGGCAGGGAGCTGTTCCTGTTGGCAGCAGAGGAGAGGACTCGCAAGAATGGGTTTAAATGAAGGGCGGGGAGGTACCGGCTGGATCTTAGGAAAACCTATTTTACAATAAGAGCTGTGCAACAGTGGAATCGGCTGCCTAGGGAGGTGGTGAGCTCCCCCTCACTGGCTGTCTTCAAGCAGCGGCTGGACAGGTCCTTGTCAGGGATGCTCTGGGCTGATCCTGCACTGAATGGCCTCTAGGTTCCCTTCCAACTCTGTGATTCTATGAAACCATCAGCTAGTGACATTCAGTCCCAGGCTGAGCTTAGCTCTCCGGCTTCCTGTTTTAAGAATTCAGTCCTCCTTGCTTCGGACGATGTTTCTCATCTTTGGAAGCTCACACTTCAGAATCTTTTCGTTTTGCCATCGAGTCATAGCTGACTTAGGGTGACCTCGTAGGGTTTTCAAGGCAAGAGGTAAGCAGAGGTTGGTTTTGCCTTCACCCGCCTCTGCAAAGCAACCCTTGCTTTCCTCGGTGGTCTCCCATCGAAGTGCTAACAAAAGCTGACCTTGCTTAGCTTCTGAGATAGGATGAGATCGGGCTGTCCTGGGCCATCCAGGTCAGGGCGGAAGTCTCAGGTCCTTTCCACACTAGACCTTAAATCCTGGTTCAACCCTGTCCCTGAACTTACATTCTACACGACACGCGGGTTCACCCCTGTAATTATCCCGGACAGGGCTCTTTTTGTAGAAAAAGCCCAGCAGGAACTCATTGGCATAATAGGCCACACCCAACAGCAGGAACTCATTAGCATATTAGGCCACACCCCTGACAACACCACTCATTAGGATATTAGGCCACACCCCCATGTTACCAGAAGTGTGGTCATCCAGCCACACCAACCTTTTGCTTCTTATTCTGTTTACCTTGTTTGTTGTCAAAGCCCAGAGCTTTTCTTGTAGCAGGAACTTCTTTGCATGTTAGGCCACACACCCCTAATGTAGCCAATCCTAATGCGTTTCTGCTGTTGGGTGTGGTCTATTATGCTAATGAGTTCCTGCTGGGCGTGGCCAACTCAGGAGCCAGCCAGAACTCTGTTCCTGTGCGTTCCTGCCCCAAAATAGCCCTGACCGGGGTATTTTTACATTCTACACTATACTCGAGTTTGCCCTTGTAATTATCTCAGGGTATTTTTCATTTCCACATTATATTGAGGTCACCCTGGTTTCGCCCCACACTTGTGCCTGGATAAACGGATGCTGTTATAACCAGGGATAAATGGAAGGTATCGTGTCGCGAGTTGAACTCTGATAAAACCAGGGATGAGATCCAGGTGCGGAAAGGACCTTAGTGTTACGGAATTGTGCTCATGGATTAGCTTACCAAAGCTGGTTGTCAGAGGAGACCCAGGAAGCAAAACCAAGCCCAACAGAAGACAGTGCCAGTAGAACAAACTCACTGTTGTCCAGTCTTAGATGGCCAGAAGGGGGCGCCCCGTTTGGTTATCCAGCACCTCTGAAACATTTTTGTCTTTCCATTCTGCAGGCGAACCTGCTTCACGATAGGCTGACGCAGATATTGGAGCGCACCGTTCGGTAAGACTTTGAGGACAAAAGAGTTATTGAAAAAATACACCCAGCTTAGTAGGCTGTTCTGGTTTCCTACAGGATTAACTTGTTTGTGACTTTTTTTAAAAAAAAGGATTACACTAATTTTGGCTGCCATCCTGTTGATGCTTACTAGGAGGCAAGTCCCATTAAAATCAGCAGGGCTTATTTCCGAGTAAACAAGCTTGCTCACTATATATGTATGTATTTATTCATTTATACCCTGCCTTTCTCCCTTATAGGAACCCAAAGCAACTCACATCATTCTCCTCTCCTCCATCTTTATCCCCACAATAACCTTACGAGGCAGTTTAATCTTGATTATGTGTTGACTGTCCAAAGGTCATTGAGCCATCATCAAGGATTCTAAGGCATCTTCTAGGCTGCCACATTCAGTTCCTAGGAAGGCCAGGGCCTGGGTTTCACCATTGCCTGTTTTGAACTGTTGAGAGAGTGTCTCCAACTCTCTTTTTAAAATGGGGCTGAATGATGCAAAGGATGAAACATGAGCAGCAAGGTTGGCTGCCATTGTTGGGTTTCTCCAGGAAGCCAGTGTTGAAAGCCGCTTTGAGGGCAAACGTTTTAGAAAAGCAAAATAGAAGAAGAGGAAGTGATTGGATTTATACCCCACCCTTCACTCAGAGTGGCTTACAAACTCCTTCCCCTCCCCACAACAAACACCCTGTGAGGTAGGTGGGGCTGAGAGAGCTCTGACTGGAGCTGCTCTTTTTCAAGGACAGCTCTGACAGAACTGTGGCTTGCCCAAGGTCATCCAGCAGCTGCAAGTGGAGGGGTGGGGAATCAAACCCGGTTCTCCCAGATTGGAGTTTGCGCTCCTAACCACAGTACAAGTGTATGGCAAAACTGTGAAATAACATCCCAATTTGTTGCTTCTCTAGGCCTCCTCCAAGCCCCTCCGGAAATGCAGCAATTACCGCCGGACGTGTTCACTACCAATCCATTCCGGTCTACGAGATGAAGTTCCCAGATCTTTGTGTGTACTGAATGTCTTCTGAAGTCGTCAAGAAGGGTTTCCAGTTTCTGGATATATATATATATTTTCATTTATTATTTTATTTTGCACCTCAAATCCACATTCATTTCTTCAGTTTTGTTCTTGGCCAGTTTTGTGTATTGTGTTTTAGTATATTGTTTGTTTTAGACTTTATGTATATATATTTTAAAAATCATGATCTTTTTGTTACATGTTGAATATGTATGTTTTTCAAAATATTTCCCCCTCTTATGTATACTTACAGAACACAGGTGGCTCTTGGTTCATGTAGATTGATACTTCTATGGAATATGCAGGGTGAGCTTTTTCTCAATGCCTTGACATCTACAGCCAGATCTGCCCTACAGCTGCATTCAGGCAGCAAGCTTAACTATGGTTAAGTTAAAATGTGCGCAAACCTGGCTTGTTGCTAAGCTCTTTTATCTCTCTTCCTTTCTCACACAGGAGAATAGTTGTTAGAAACTGACTCCAACAATTAGATCCTAAACCAGAACTGAATGCAGGTTTAGATCTCAGTGATTGTGCATTTCGGTCTAGATGTGGTATGGGAGAGGTGTTATGAGTGTGATGACATCACTTCCTGGAAAATCCGAGAAGCAACGGTAGTTGCTCTAGGAATTGCTGGAAACTCTACGGTTT